TCCCCCTCCACAACCTTAACTAGGAAATTATTCTAAATACCTAAACCTATTAGGAAGAGCACGAGGTGTGCGAGAGACTTACCTCCACTTGGTGCACCCTGGGCAACGTATACTCAAGTGGCAAAAAATTCTATAAACCGGCAGTTGACTTCTGACTTCAAACCACCATCACCCCACTGTATGTCATATTTCACCACTTTCACAGTATTCACCTTACCTCTTTTCTACCTTTGTGTCTGTCTGCCTCTTTTACATCTGTGAATCACTCTCCTGTTCCCCACCCCTCGACTTTCTTCTACCTTGATGAACCTTCCCTCTGTGAAGCCCGAAGTCAGCTAAATGGCTAATGATAGTTATCAAAACGCCTCCCATTTGGAATAAATAAATTAGGAAGAGCACAAAACCATCTTATCTCAGCACGCAATCACACCAGTCGGGTAGCAAATACTAGCGAGGTAAATATCACAACCTAATTGTCAAGGTCGACAGCCGAAAGAGTGCTAAAGGCTATTGACTAAATCAATGTGCTAGGGGGGGGGACTTATTAACTAATTGCAACTAAACGCTTAAGCGTATTAGCAAAAAAATAGGTGAATGTTCAACCGTTGTGACAATTCCGTAAATTTATTTCATTAAGGTGAAATCTCGCCAGTTGGCCTTGAATGCCATGTAAACCACCCATCTTTGTTTATATTAGAAGTGATTTGGCCACAAATGAGCGGACATCCAATAGTGCGGTCCCAGCCCTCTGGCCCATCACCTCTCCGCCGACAAATTGCGAATACGCAACTTCTGCATCGATGAAAATGTATGCTAGTTTCTGAAGGAAGACAGAGAATCTTTCTATGTGAAATTAAAGAAAAAGTGCTTTGCCAATAGTCAAATCGAAGGTGCAAGTACAGTGGTGTTATTTTACGAAGGCAATATCTGGAACTTTTCAATTTGTAAAAAAAATACTTACAATAGTGTGATAGATTCATTTTTGAAGTCCTGTCGTATAATAAAGAAAATCAAACGACCTTGAACTTTTATAAACACTAAATTTGTTGAGAGGCTTGATAGTTCACTCCAATGTGTTTTCTTTATTGCAAGTGAACTTTCATTGGCAGTGTAAATATTGGCAGCATTAGCGATATCGGAAAACACGATCGACTTGAAACCGCGCGAATTTTCTAGGTATTATTTATTTCGAGTGGGAGGCATTTTGAAAATTCAAAATGGAGTGCAGGATGGAGAATAACTTCTATTTGGCTATGAATGGGGAAGAGGTACCATCTAAAGATCTCCTTAAACTTGTTATCCTCGTATTCGTCTGTTCCGAGAACACTTTAAAGAACTGAAAGTGGGAAAAAATATCACTCGAAATAGCTAACCATCAAATTGCAGACTTTACAGTTAAACTCGAATTGAAAATTCTTAAAATATTAGGTCCCCAGGGTTTCAGTGGTCGGCAAAATTTTCAATTTTAAACACTAAACAAGACAGGTATTATTCATTGGGCAGTGTGGGACACGTCATCGCATGCCTGCACGCCAGGATTGGGAGGTGCGACTTCATTAACCTCTGTTTGTTTAACCTAATCCCCCATCCTGATTCTTAAGCTTCCCTGCGTGTACACTTTATCCGCAATACCTAGTGAATAAACGTGCTCCGTGATACACGTCTATTTCCTCTATAGCTGGGCTTTAGCTTAGCTGGTTCTGGGAGTCTAGCTTGGTGTAGGAGAATCTGCCATAGAGATTTCTGAGTTAGTCAGGCTTTACTAAGGTAGCAATCCGTTACAGCAGTTAGTCGTCGTTAACGGTCCTGTTATCTTGCAGTTGAAAGGTGGGCATGTCAATTGACGTAATTTTCTTTAGAAGTCATGACCATCGTTTCAAATATCCAATGTCTTATCTATTCATGCATTATTTTTAGTTCGGATGCATATGAGGTTAGAATTCAGCTAATTTTCTCGTAAAAGAAACAGCTACATACATGTAGGAACTAACTCCCCAAAATGCACACACTCCAAATTCCTATCAAAAGCCAAAGTTTACCATATGCATTTAATTTACTGAAAAAAAACATAATTTCAATAAAACAATTATTTAGTAAAAATTAAACGCTAGCGAAGAGTGGTTCTAGGAGGTATTTATCAAAATCTCTCACAAAACACAATAGCCAAAGGGGCGGGGATCAGAGATTTCAAGAGGATGTAGAGGGATGAACACCGTTTACTTGCCAACCTCCTTTACATCATCGTCGCAGTCCCCGCAGCTGCGTCCATTGGGCAGGTAGGCCATTTGAAAGAGATTGGAGTCAATTACGTGGAGTGGAGAGGCACACGGACTCATCTTGGATGTGTCGCCTTTTCGGTGTGCATCGAGAGCAGCACGAACAAGAATATGGAGCTCGTTGGTGAGTGTCTCGTGACGGTAAGCAACACGAATGTTCGGCAGATTTGTTCGGGTTATGTCGTTGCTCGCCACACCTGCCTCCTCACGCCAGTAATTCAATCCTAACCAATGCGATTTCACCTAAATTAGAAAAAAATAATGCTACTCTATTCATTTCAGTAGCGAAATCTAAATTTTAACAGTATCTGTATAATCGTGAAAGGAATTAGTAGTAAGTGTTGATTCATAACTAGATTAAATATAGCCAGGGAATTGAGAAATTCGATTTCTTTTCCATCTACTATGGATAAAATGTCAACTTCGTTAATTTAACCGCTACCTCATTGATGAGCTAGGTAGCTCTATGCAGTCAAAGCAGGTACCTCAAGCAAACATCAACCCCCTATGTGTACTTGACTCTATGCAGTAAATTGGATGCACTGGATAGTTTCAACTTAGGTGTTGCTGGCAAACAAACTTTAGAAATCCGTCGCATTCTCCTTTGTACTTACTAAGCAGTTTGACCTCTATTTTGGCTTCCCACTTTAATCCTTAAAGGCTAAATATTAGGCGTCACCTGGACGGAGTTTTGGTTAATCCAGACTGTGAGGTTCTGAGTTAAATATATCCCCCCCCACCCCACCCGACAAAAATATTTTCAATAAGAGGTCTGTCAAGATGTGTCAGCAATACTTATAATAATAATAATAATTAAGTAGACACGTACGACATCAGGGAAGCCGGAGATGAGGACGGAGTTACGGGCGAGCTCGCACATATCGGTGAAGCTGAGTTTCCAGACCTGCGCAGCGATGCTATACTCCTCCATGAGGGGCTCCTTTGTGAAGTGGAATTGGAGAGGGTCGTCTGTGGAAAGGCAGACGTGCAGTCCTTTCGCAAGAAAATCGATCAAAGGGTTTCGATGGTACTCCAAGAAAAGTGAATTATTACTCAATGGTGACATCGCAAGACCAATCTGGGAAATAGAGGAAATGTTTCCAAATCCATAAATTGGTCTTTTACGACTTCGCATCCATTATATTAATATTATATTTTATTAATATAAAATATTATATATGATATTAAATTTCATTAAAAACATTAGAGTAGTTCAAAATTGTACTTTAAGAACTGAATGATAACGAATTTCCATATGGAATTGAAAAGTAAGAAATTAAAATCGCAAATTAAGAAAAGATTTGATTTAGTGACAACCACATTGCTTTAGGGAAATAAAACTTAAGTGGAATTCACAAACTCTCGGTGTAAAAATTGTGGGGCAAGATGGGAGAAGTCGAGATACCCCCTCATTGTTAACCCCATTATTTTGAGTAGGAAAAAAATATAAAATTCTGAAGCCACTAAACCAAGTACAAAAGGGGATGCGCACCTGACAGAGGTAGAAGAGGTACTGGAGGACGGGAGCTTTACGGAGAAGGAGCCCGTGGTTAATAGATTCAGCCAATAGGAATGTAGCGATTAAATGACTCACACTGCCTGCCTCTCCACAGTGGGGTCGGAATGCAAACACGTGCATACCGCGGTGTCTGAAAAGTAATTCAAAAAAATAATAGATATTGGGCAGTATTTTTAGCATTTATAAAGGCAAGTAATATGGTTGAAAGTGACCAATCGCTTGCCCATATCTCATGTGGTGTTGACTACTGAATCTAACTACCTAAATTACCTCCATTCATCATTATTACCAATGTTCAATCCTGTCAAAGTCAACGCTCCTTTGTAAATCCTAATCAAGACAGAAATACAATTCTCTGATACTAAGATGTTCTCAGCATCATCATCATTAAAAAGAGGGGGAGAGGGAGATTGGCCCCGATGAGATATTCGATTTCTGCCAACTCGCTACTAGTAGACAGCTTGTAACTATGAGGTGGGCCATTCGGCGTCAATGGGGAATAAATCAAATTAAAATGAGGTATTTCTTCAGACGCTGCTGACTTAGAAATGCGCGTTTGCCGAGTATTCGTTGTACTGCCAGGAGAACTAATCTCGCGTTAATAGATCTGTCGAACAACACGTAGATGTGCAGTTGTCAAGGGCCATCCCATCACACTGCATTTACCTTCATTGAGATTTAAGTAAGTGAAACTTCACTACGCTATAAATACGAAATCTTCTTATTCTCTCTCTGCAAGTATGTAATTCATTCGCATTAAGGAGCGTGGAGTAGAACTTACTGTCTTAGTTGATTGAGAACGGCGATGTTGGCGTACATATAGAAGATGTAGTAGGCGTAGGGTGGATTCTCATGACGATCCCACCGATCGGCGGTGGGAAGGCCGAGGTCGAAGTGGATCGCATCCATCTTTGACTCATCGTCCACCGAATCGAAGGCGCTCACGTGCTCGAGGAAGGCGTGCAGCTCGGGATGGGAGGTGGGGTCAAGAGTCACTTCAAATAACGGCCGAAATACGTTCTCTATCATCTCCTACACGCACACATAGAGAAAACATCAGATTACCGATTATTTACCGCAAACACTGGAGTATTGAAATTGAAAACAGCAAGGCTTCAAAAGATAAAAACGGTGGATCCCATATCCATAAAAACAAGGTCCTTCACTCATTCAAATGTTAGTGAAGTAACAAGAGTAAAAATAGTTTGCGAAAAACTTCAGCCGATTTTACGCTCCTGGTCTCGCACTGACTTAGGGGAACATTCTCATCCATCGACCCCCCCATTCTTTGGAGGAAAGAAAAGAAGTACATTTCCTGAACGTCGAAGACCAAACCTCTCCCCGCACTCCCTCCCCCTCCCCTCCCCACCACGCAGCCACTCTGATGCAGCTACACAACCGCTTGTACTCTAACCCTAATGTGCTAATAAAACATTAAATAATATTAAACAACCAATCTATTACGTTGACCATTAAAATACCAGTGTAACTGAATTTCCTTAAAGCTTGGTTGAGGACAAAATTCGGAGACATCTTAACTGCAGCAATAACCCAACGAAAATACGCATCGATCGTAAATACTACAAATTAACTGGGAAATTTCGTAATAATAAGAAAGAAATTGTACCTGGAAGGTCCCAACAACGCCCTTCGACCTATAGACGTCGTAGAGACGTGGAACCTGAACGATCCAACGGATGTTCGGCGAATAGACGCGAAAATTAATGGCCCACTTTGCCAGATCATCCCACTCGTTACGAGATTTGCCGTAAATGGACAACCTCGGCTCAGCATTCTGGTACTTCGACTCCTCCAAATCTGAAAATACCTCCTAAAAGAAAAGAAGACCCAAATTAGGAGACAAGTCATTCCGACAAAACACGTATTCACTTTGTGCAAAACAGTGAATCAAAAGGAATAGAGGTTTTCAGCAAAGCAGGTACTAAGGCAATATGAAAGTGGAACTTGAGCATTTTGATCCCAAAGACCAAGGCATTCTACTCCCTCCGAGCCATATTTGAGTCCTTTTGCATTAAAACACTGATGATCTGAGATAGCTGGGAGCACCAAATACAATTTGAGACAAGACTTGAAGGCGAGTGAATCAGCACTACACTAAAAGCAATTTTCAGTGGTCCAATTTGGCATCTGTTTGTATTAATAGCATTGCTCTTGACGAGTGGCTCTCATTCGGTTATTGGTAGGCGTGAGCGTTCGTAACGGAAACAAGTTAAAATAGCTTCAGAAGAGTACTACGTTTCAATAAATAATTCAACATCATTTTAACTATTTATAACTCAACGGGGTGCGCGATAGACTTACCTCCACGTGATGCACCCTGGGCAACGTATACTCATACGGCAAAACAGGTCTATTAACCGGCAGTTGACTTCAAACTGCCATGACCCCACTGTATGTCATATTCGACTACTTTCACAGTACTCACCTCACCTTTTCTCTGCTTCTCTGTCTGGCTGTCTCCTTTACATCTGTGAATCGACATTCTGTCCCCCCTCTCGACTTTTCGTCACTTTGATGCTCTTCCTCCCCTCTGTGAAGCCCGAAGACAGCTAATTGGCTAATGATAACTATTATAAAGCTTGCCATTTGAAATAAATAAATTTATAACTCCATAGTGGGGCTCTGTGGTTTGAATCTACCCCGAGTGAGCAAAGAGTGACAGTGGGTTCTTGTAAGTAGTAGAGGGTGGAGGGGAGAGGGCCAATGTGTTACCTTAAGAACTTGTGCGAAGAAAATGCCATTGCAGAAATTGTCGGTCTTCAAGAAGACCTCCCTGAGTTGACTCTGACCAATCGGATTGTACTTTGCGTTGAATTTGTCGAATCGATGGAAGGTGTTGCGATCCTTAAACGCAAAATAAGCATAAGGCAACCAATCCAAATGGACAAAAATCAATCTAACAATTCAATTGAAGAACGTCTACACGAAGTCACCTTCGTAAATTATTTCCTACTATGGAGACAAAAATAAGTTGAAGTCTTCAATTTGCACTTGAACTTACGGCATGTACGTCGAGAATATCAATGTTCATATCATACGCGCTGATTCCCAAATGTTCCATTAACTAAAAAACGACAATACAATGCTATTGATACACATGGAGAAAGTTTGACATCTATAACGTTTTGTCATGAAAAATTTGGCATCCCCTTTATTATAAAATAATTAAAGTGAACTCCACTGAGCTCTGCTCAACATGTCAACTGATGTCTTCCCGCCACCTTAGTCACTGGAACAAAGACTCACCTCAACTTCTACTATGGGTCCAAATCCTTCTAGGGGGGAGGGGGGGGGGGGGGGGGGAGCANGGGGGGGGGTGGGGAATGGAGAAACCGAACTCAGATCTCATTGTGGTCATTGACTAGAAAGGCTTATCTAGTCATCCTCATAGCTACCGCTCTGGTGGAAGTTTGCGGTTAAGTGCAATTGTGACGAACACTTTCACTGGTTGCGATGTAAATGTTATTATTTACATCCTTCATACACCCTGCAGATAGTATGATCTCTCATGTTTACTTGCCCTATGGATTTGATTAACTTTAATAATTTTTACCTCAATAATGGACAGACAAAGGTCACTGTGAATAAAATGCCTAAAATTCATACTTGAAAATGAGTGCTTGAGAAGGGCACGTAGGCCATTCCTCTAAATACTCAATGCTTCCCAAATCCCTTCGTCAAAATGGCTCAGACCCTGTAAAATGTGGCATTGGAACAACATCCGTAATGGACTCAGCAGCCTCCGAATCCCTTCATTCACGAGAGCGTTGTTCTTGATTGATGCCCTCTGACCTTAATCAAGCCTCATTTAAATCTCAGAAGTAATTCACCAATGTCAATGAGATTAAATTGGTTAACGGTCAATTGAAGTGGTGTATAAAAAAAGGGGGTTCCCGGGGTTTATTGTAAGAAAGCTGCTCAATAAAGTCGACTATAACACACACACGCGCGCACGCACGCACGCACGCACACACACACATGACCGTTCATATGATATAGGACAACAACAGGCAGTTCGATAAAACGCGGGAATGCGGTAACTACGCCAAAGTGGAAAACACTTTTCCAACACTTACGCCGAGGTAAGAAACCGATTGTAAGAGAAAAGTATCAATAACGAAGAAAGTATCAGTGGGGGGGGGGGGGGGGANGGGAAGGGGGAGAGAGGGGCATTGGTGATCTTTAGGAGATGCAACTCCCAGTTGCTGCTGACCAGTAGACACCTTTAAGAGTTTGAATGAAATGCACCACCAATAACTTTGCTTGTCTCCAGGTCCACTGAAGTTCTAAAGGCGTTGATTCGCCCCCTGTTTTACATGACGTGACCCTGACCCATACAACTTTGAACAAAGCGGCTCTTGCACATGCATACTGAATCCAATACAACCAGCTAATGAGATTTTCCTGCCACCAATAACCCCCACCACCTTTCTCTTAATTTTGCAAGTACTACACCCAACCACGACAACATACAAGAACATGGAGAAGGAGGGGGGGGGGGGGGAGTATGAGGGCAAATTACTTGTTTGAGGGTGAGGGGTTGACCAGTGGACTTATCCAGACAAACGTGATCGTCCTGTCGTGTGCGAATGCACTTCTTGATGAAACGCAGCAGGTGCTTCTGATTCATGCAGGAGGCGGCGTGCACGTGGGTGTCCACCTACGAAAAAAGCAACAAAACAGTGAAAAACTGCCTCCTCCTCCTCCTCTGCTGCTGCTGCTGACAATGTGACGCGCACATACATACTATCACAGTATCACAAGAAATAGATGAGGTAAGACAAAGGTGGCTAAATATTGTCATTTGAATTAAAGAAACTGAATATTGGTGGAGGACATCGTGCGATTTATCAAGAGACGCCATTTCGTTGACTTTCGCAAATAAGTGAAATAGTGTCTTACTCAAATGTCCTCCATTAACTCGACACCTGCTCAGAATCAAGGAAGAGGGAGCACTTGTAACTCTCAAACGACGGTTTGCACTTCAAAAGGCACATTTAATTAAGCAGCCTTGAGAGGAAGCGAAAAAAACGATCCACTGTCTAGTTAGGCAGTAATTTCAGTGATACCTTCTCCACAAGCGATCGAACATATCCAGGTGTGTGAGCAAGAGAATTCAATCGAATTCATCATCCAATGCTTAAGCGATGAAGCTTGTGAGCACAACAGATATAATCGATATACCCGATGAATTGACTACCACAACTCCACAAATGGCCGGACACCATCACCATATATAGACGGCAATAATATGTTAATGGTTAACATTTCACGTCATCAAAATTTCCCCACAATTATGATGAAACATATCAGAATAATTCAAACAAGACATTCTTATTATTTCAATGTTAATTGAGATCCTTCTTCGGCTAATTGATGGCTTATTCAAACTAATTAGACGATTTCGTTAGACATAGCATTTTGTCCACTGCAGGCAGTTTTGAAAAAAAGCCAAAATGTCGCCTGAGCTCTAGATCCACATCAAAAAATTTTCGCAACGACTGATTTGACTACTTCGGTCATCACATAATGCATCCAAGAGGTGTGTGGTAAGCAATCTCTGATCGGAGAAACTTGTGGAGTGCAAAAAGAGTGTGGATGTTTTCAATATCATAAAATGGGAGATTAAATTTAATTTGTGCTTGCCTAAGAACGATTCACATTGATTGAGGTGGTGTAGCCAAATTCTCCGACAAAAGGACCCTCCTCTTAGGTCATTCAGGTCATCACATGATGTAAAGGCGTTAACTACCACAAGCCCAAAGAGGACTCGCAAATTGATAAATTCCTACGTTTAGTAGACGGATGCTACAGAGCGTTAAGTGGAGGAGGAGAAAGGGCCGAGAGACTGCGAAATCAGCTGAAATATTGGCACCCAGACTTGGGGTTTGGGATAGACTTACCTCCACGTGGTGCACCCTGGGCAACGTATACTCATACGGCAAAAAGTCCATTAACCGGCTGTTGACTTCTCACTTCAAACTACCATCACCCCACTATATATCGTATTCGACCCCTTCCACAGTACTCAACTCACCTTTTTCTCTACCTTTGTCTGTCACTTTTACATCTGTGAATCACTCTTCTATTCCCCACCCCTCAACTTTCTGTTAATTTGATGTTCCTTCCCCCTGTGAAGCCCGAAGTCAACTAAAGGGCTAATGAAAACTATCAAAACGCCTGCCATTTGATATAAATATATTGACACCCAGACTTGACCTCTCAACTCCGACGCCCAAAGTACAACATGCTGTATCCAATTCCCAAGGCCCCGAATTTTATTACTCACCTCTATGACTTTGCTAATATTGCAAGGGAGCCCCAAATCGAATATTTTCGGTGCATTCCAAAGATGAACTCGTAAGTTCACCCCTCCGGAACTTTTCGTTCACTTTCGGAAATCTAAAACTCCGTATTTGGGTATTCATCACCGTCATTAATATACGAAGAGAAGGCTAATTAATTTTTCGAAACAGGCGCCTTCATTCTGTCACTAGTGGACTATAATTTGAGCTGCAGGTCCTCTACTTCCACGAGTCTGAGTAGTGAGTAGTATTATAAAAAGGGGTAGTCGACGAGACGATATCAAACCTATATATCTGTTATATTGCATTAATGTGATAGTAATGCAATATTTTCTTGCGGTCAATTGGAAATATTAATTTCAAAATAATTGAACTAGAGCTGAGTACCAACCTTGCGAATGTTGTAGAAATCTCGGTGGGGAACATTCTTCTGTTCCAGTGTTTCCCCGGCCTCATTTAGCAGATTGTGGAGGGAGAATTTAGAACTAAGGTAGCAGAGCCGTCGAAAGGCAAAGGATTTGAGGGGCCCATTAGCGACAAACATTCTCATTGTCTTCTCGTCACGAATGAAATCCTCCAGAATGAAGTTGGGCAGATTGGGGAGTAGGGTGCCTTCCTTCAGGGGCTTCAACTGCGCGATTCCCTTCTCGAAACTAAGAGAGGCAGCCAGAGCCTCAGGCCAATGCTTCACTTCAAAGGGGTCGCCTGTGAACTCAGGCGGGTGGATTGGGTGCTCTGGAGGAGGAGGAGGTTATGTTTGGGAAGAAAATTAGGCATCCAAAATGACATGCTAAGCGTTAAAAATCGCAGCTCATATCATGCGGCTGCGCCATTTCCAGACCATCAAAATAGAACTGCATAATGTGAAGAGAAGAAAAGGATGAGTTTTAAGAATAAAACATTTTTAAAGCCAACAAATTAGAGCGGATCAGCGCGCTAATCTCAAGATCCGACGCTAATAGGCAGATCACTTTACTGAAGCTTAAAGCGCATTGGTCACATGCTCGAAATGATCAGGTGGGGTGAAGAGTAGAGGGAGTGAATGAGTCAACTGGCGTTAAAACGATATCATGCCTTGAAGCTCTTTTACCTTCATTCTCCTCCCAATCTCGCCACTCCACTGTCGACATAAAATAAAATCAATTGCGGCTAAAAGTGAGGGAATTTATTCTCGCAATGAGAGCGCCGATTATTGACACTAAGCCACCGCCCTTTTACTGACGTGGAACAATAAATTCATCAAAAAGAGCTATCCTTTAGGCAAAAGAAATTAAAGTACTTAACAAGTATGTTGAGTGAAATGACTTAGTTCAATTAAATGCCAGTTATTAACTTGATTCAAAGCGACAGATTTAGTCTTGCCAATCATCCAAAGTAAGGTGGATGATGAGACGAAACGAATGCGATGCAATAATTGAAGTTGAATGAGCTCTGAATCTCCCAGTAACCCAGTAACTTCAATCACCTAGCAATTCGTGGCGAATTCAGCAGAATGAATTGCCTCAAGACTGAATGCGAACAAAAACCGGAATTCAGGAAGTTAGATATGTCCTAGTTACAAATGATATTACACTAGCATTAAGACAAGTGATTACACACACACACACACACACACACACACACATATATATATATATATATATATACATGAACGTGTGGGCAAACCGTGGGTTTGTTGTGTCAGAGTGCGAAGGAAGACCTCTAGGAATTACCTGAATCGACCATATGATCGTGTTGTGTATTTCAAGCCCCGCACCTACTTCAATCAGAACCCACGTAACCTGAAAACTTGTGCATTCACCATGGAGCCTTTGCTTTAGACAAGATTTGACTGAGCTTAATTCAAAACTGGAAATAGCTTATGGGTTCCAAGCAGTTGGATGCCATGTCTTCATTTTCGCCACAAGCCTTATTAGAGCATGGATGTTCTTCGAGAAAAGTTACTTCCCCATGATAATGAAATGCTTTCCACTCCGTGGAGATGGAGGACCCACCGATGGAAAGCAATTCCACAACTGATAGACATGCCTTCCTGCACCCCGACGCATAGATTGAGGGAAGCACTCTTGTGCCCAGCCAGTATCATGCTTCGATCACCGCCATGTCCTTAAAATCAAATGGACATAAACCCTCGTTCCATCTCTTAGCATGAAGTTGAACCTGCATCTAACCCCTAAACGTTAACTGTCGATAATAAAAGAAAATACGGAGATGATTAACAAATATATGTTGTTTGCTACAACAGCAGGGGAAAGCGCATTTGAGCAAGCAAACAATGAAATAGGGTAGAGAAGTTAGGAGTCAACCACGACTAAACAACTGAATCAACCAAGTGAGACAGATCCCTTTTGACGAGCAACCAGACAGAAAATGCGACCATGAAAATTAGAATCATCAGACTTTCCAGACATACAGATTTCGTCATTTTGTAGAAACATATAAACAAATGACTCGGATAATAATGACCTGAACCCCTAACTATCGAAGTAGATAACTTTCCTTAGGACACTGGGAAAATGATTCGTAGTTTCACACAGAAAGCACCGACATTCAATGAAAGGTTGAGTGAGATAAAAGTGAATCACTTGCAAATATTAGAAACTCGCAATAGGAAGGGGGTAAGGAGTGACTTGAAGTCACTCAGAAAAATGACCAAAGAGGAGAGAAACACGCAAACACATTAATTTGAAAAAAGTGAAAGAGGATTTTCAACAACTCTATGGAATAATAAATTGTCCAATACACTAAAGAATGATGAAAAGAGGAAATCATTATCGAATAAGTAGATGATCATCACGACAGAGAAAGACTTCCACTGAAAAGGGGGGAGAGGAAAGCCCAAACACTGAGGAGAGTTGGCCGTGGGGTGGCGACAAAGTGAGCTCACTTTGGATCTCCCGAAAATAGGGATGCAAGACCAAATGACAAGGGTGTAACGCAATAATTGAAGACCAAAACCACTCCTCCCATTTTCCCTGTCTCCATTCGAATGATAGACAGACGAAATTTAAAATGCATTAAGCAAACATTCAACTATGCAGTAATTCACCACGACATGCTCAAGATCCATGGTAGGTTAAGGAATTCTAATTTTGGTTGCACTTGATTGAATATTTCAGAAATAATTAGTGAGTTAGCGATCAGTAAATAATAGCTAACCGTTGGATTTAGACGACTGGCTCCCAAACAATACAATATAACTGATCCATTTAATAAACAATTAGCAAATACCTCTCAACGTTGAATGAAAGCATCAAGACTTGGAAGAGCCATTAGTTGAACTCACCTTTGTCAGTGGCGGGGGCAGTGTAGTAGCAGCTCTTTCTGGGTGACTGCAATTCCTCCTTGGAATCAACGCTGGCCATTTTGAGGTACCACTTCACGATGCGCCCATTCTTCTGCAACGACGCTCGCATATACTTCTCGCGCATTTCCATCGCCTTCAGCAGAGATACGGCAGCCTCTTGAAGATCCTCTTTTGTGACCTTGAAGGTAGAACAAAATTCAATTATTGCTATTTTCTTCTGAATTTGTCAAGAGCGTCTAGCAGCCAAGCAAAGCCACACCCTAACCCTAACAAGCCACTTTCCTGAATTGATCATTTAGCTACAACACAACCCCCATGTTTAGATGAAATGAGTTTTAATACCATTAGAAGAATAACCGTGCATTTTGAACTGCCTTGTAATTAAAGGGCGGTGATGATAAATTTACCAGTTGCATCAGGAAAAAGGCGATTGGGGATCTCAAAACGTAGTCAATTCAATGGCGAATGCGCTATTGACAACGAATTTTACTCAGTGACAGTTATTCGCGTCTAGTACAGTCGCAGCCCCCAACACCTCCGACCTGCAACCCCAGAGAGGGGCCACCCTCCCCCCCCCAAGCTTCTTTTATTCAAGACATTTGCGGAACCCGTCTGGTTCTAGTAATACAAGATGTGTCTTTCTCAGCAGCTCAAAATGCATGTCAATGTTTGATCTGATTAAGAACAGGAAGAGAGGAGGTTGGGAGTGCAATTCAGAGGCCAAACTCGGAGATTGTTGTAATCGTACAAGTTGGCTGGTAACTATTTTTGACTTTGTCTCATGTGGGCAGGAAAGCGAATCCTAATATCATAAATTTTGCCTACATTTGGCTACCATCATCCGTTATCAAGGGCTCAACTACTACTACTACTTCTAAAGTGGTCAACAATCCCACTTTGGGAACAGAATACAACCATAACCTATCTTTAGGAAATGTGTAGGAAGGCAACATTCCACCATCAAAAGAAGACACACTCGAAAACCATGATTGGGTTAATTTGGTCTGCATAATTCGAGGAAACCCCATGGACTTTCGTGCATGGCAAGCCATCTCTTATTCTCCTTGTGGTGTTTTCGATCTTGGCAAGAATTTTTTCATCTGACGAGAACCCAAATGCCTGGACCTTAACAAGATGCCTCACTTTGCACAGTAGTCTCATCGCCATTGCCAGGCCTTTTCTCTCCTAGGTTGACCCCCGTGACGCTTGTGCAACAAGAAGTGCTGAAGATCATCCTCGAGAGTGCAAGCTTCATAATAGAATTCAAGTAGCTCTGACTACAGAACTCTAATTATAACTCCAGGATGCTCTAACACACTCAGGTTCGATGGTAGCTTCCTCTAGCAACGGTAGCCCCTTAGTCTCCTCTTTATGGCAATTCGTTTTCAGTGTCCAGAGAGACACGAGCTTCGATAGTTGGCACGTGAATCACCACACCTCTTCCAGACAGACCATGAAATTCGAACCTCGGAGCATTAGGACATCTCATATGGGAAACAAAAACAAATCAAGATAGACTGATGAATAAAAGTTCTAAGAGCTTGCATCAGCTCACAGAAATAGTCAATAAAAGTGGTTAAACATGCCTCTCCTTCAGAAAAATTTTATTCGACCTTTAAGTATGTCCTCTAGGAGTACCCGATGTTAGGAGCGTGTGAAGGAGAAATCAGACTTCTATACATTCAAAATATGAACGCCATTAAAAATTATGGGTTGGGTATTCAATTCGATTATAGGAGAGATTATATTTAATGTAGATAGCATAGAATAGAATGTAGAGAATATTATTTCTCCAATACTGTATGAATATTTTTTTGTGAAAATTTTCCATTCTGGAATAAATCGAGATCAATGAATAACAAATTGCTGAAACAATTGTTCAGATTTCGTAAGACGAAGCTTTTCGAGAGAAACTTCACAAACGCTCGGAGAGAAATAGTGGGATTAGAGAGGAAAGATTTAGTAAAAATAAGGGTTACAAAAATACTTTAAAGTATTCGATCTTCACTACTTATGGACAATTGGGAAGAAACAATAGAGCCGGTTATAAATGCATTCATTAGCAATTATTGGCATTAAAAAAATAAGAAAAGCCGGACGAATTTAGAAATCTTATAGATTATGATAAAGCTATGTTAGGATTTAAAAATTAACATAATTACTTTTAATATTTAACCATCAAACCATCGCAATTTACCACATTCCTCAACTTTACGCCAGTACAATAAAAACTCGCAACTTACACCTGACTTGCAAGCAGCACAACACGTTAGTATCCATAGTGGTAGTAAAAGTTTTCACAGTACCAAAAGGCTTTAAGTTGGTGATAGTAAGCCTAATAGAAGCCACTAGAGGCACTTCCAGGTTTCATCTCATTTGATTGGTGATTCGATTAAATTTCCACTGTCACACTTGGAGTGGAAGTAGCTATAGCTTAAACAGAGAACTGAAAATGATTTTTAAGTGCTAAAACACACAGGAAAAGTAGGATTATCATGTTGACGATAACTATAAAATTTATATAAACGAAACACTAAAATTACACCAGAAGCATCGTCTCCACCAATGCAAACTCGTTGGTATTCAACGACCCGACTTTTGGTAGGGGTAATAGCAGGAGAAATTGCAGAATTAGCTCTCGATGACGCCTCTGCATCGTCCAAAGTGAATTGAGTTTCAGCATCGAGGGTTTTCGATGGAACATGGGTAGAAAGGCAGTCCGGAGAAGCGATACCGTTGGAACCAACATCCGGTGGGGAATCTGGAGAGAGCTGGAAGCAAGTTTTTTCTTCCCCATTAGGAATCGTGGAAGTTTGGAATTGATTAGGCCGTTCACTTTGAATGGAGCTACAATGAGAGCGATGGCGAAAGTAGTAGAGCATACATCAGGCAGCGTTCATGATAAAGAGACAAAATTACTCACCGAGAAAGCTGCCGCGAAAGCAAATGGTTTTTCATTTCATTAACCTCGATTGGTGTTTTAGGGACATCAAATTGTGAATAGCTTCCGTGAAACAATATGCGATCTTCAGTTACACTCAATTTCTGAAGACCTTTAGTAGTCTCGGACATTGATTCTTCCATACTAAAAAGAAAAATTAAACAAATTATCAATCGTAATATATTTCAATATTTTTATTTATGCTAAAAGTCTCAAAAATAATAAATCTACAAGACAAGTATTTAAAGTAAAAGTCTTTGAGATTAACTGAAAAGCTGATAGGGAGACTGACCATATAAAAAAAACAACACGAGAATTCACAGCCATTAATCAAAGGACATGACAATTTAATTTTTGCTTTAAATATACTAATATTGAATTCTTCGCAATTTCTGTATAAAATTTCCTTCAAAGAAATTACTTCATTATTCGTTATAAAGAATAAACAGCAATGGACTAATGAATGTTAATAAATTTTTCACCTGCCCTTAATAATGATCTGACAAGCGTGCGGCCTTGATTCAAGGCACTAGTTCAACGAATTAGTGCAGAGAAACACAAAATTTTAATTTAAATATATTAATCGTATTTCCAAATTGTATAAATTCTTTTTGCTTATAATCATTTTAATTTTATTAATCAGAGCACCATGGAAAAAATATTTCAGTGTCAAATATATTCGTCATCTTCAAAACATAATTTTAATTAGCAACGGTGGCTTTCCACTTTACATAGATCTTAATTTCCTTTTACTCGTACACGCGTTTTATGCTCAAAATACTTAGTTATATATTAGATTAAGTTATCTTACTCCATACATTTGTTTCCACTTCCATTTTAATTATTGATCCTGGCCACCTTTAATTAATCATTAAATTCTATATTTATTGAATATAAAGCAATTCGTTTGAAATGCAATGAAAGATATGAATAATGTTTAAGCAACACATAATTATGATTTCTTTACTCACATAGTTAATAATTCCCTAAGTAGGCAGAAAATCTTTCATCCTGTATTTATTCAATTTGACCAAAATCTTGGGAGCTTAAAATCGTTATTTACTACTTCTGTTGCCCATATCAAGGGACATATGACATTTTTTCAATTTGGAGAGATAACTGACTCCTGTTATTAATGAGTTTATTTAGTGAGAAAAGGCACGACTTTAAATCGAGTTTGCTAAATTCAACCTATCGAAGAATTTTACTTCCCTA